AGCCATTTCAAACCCAGCAAAACGCACGGCGGGTTGCAAATCGAGATGTTTATTTTCAACGCAGAAGAAAACCTCTCATGGCGTTTTGCACTTCCCCTCTGGAGGTTTCAACACCATTCTGGTGATTTCACAAGAACAGACAAAGGAAGGGCAATCCTCTTCTAGGAGGGAACTGAGCTGACTCATGGTATATGCTGAAAGGTGACCTATGGAGCTCTTTATTTCCAACTCTTGGAGTTATTAAGGGGACACTGTGCCACCTATACGATGAGGGGTTTTGTTTGTATCACTAAGAGCTCGCAAATAAGGGGAAAGCCACTGTGGCAGGCCTTAAACCCACCAATTTCTTTATGAGCTTCGTGCCATCAAGTCCACATCTTTCCAAGCCACCACGCTTGTGCAGACACTCATCTCCAGCCTTTCTCCAGCCCCTGCCACGCAAGGGTGGTCACTCAGGACTTTGCTGCGTGGGACTGGCACCCCTCTCCTCATTTTACACCCAGGAAGAAGGGGAAGGAAGAGATGCTTGATGCAAGGACTACGTTGCGAAACTACTCAAGCCGAGAAGCACGTTCCCTTACCAGAGTCCTCTGCTGACACCTGCCAGACCTGGAGGGAGCTGTCTGGTGGGCCACTCGTCACCAGCAAGCTGAGGAAACAAAAAGAACCCCACAAAACCCTTTAGAAGCAGAGAAAAGCCTTTTTTTCCCCAGCCTGGCAGCTCCTGAGCACAGGAGGGACAGACCAGGAGCTCCCACCTCTGCTTGGAGCAGAGAAGGGGCCATGAGGTCCATAATCCCAGAACTCCTCGTGCCAGGGTGCTCTATGCCGCCCAGGTTATGGCATTTAATTAGCAACGGGGGCTTGTGTAGGAGGAGAGAGCTCAGTGAGGGAAATGAATCGGCCAGGGGGAAGCGTGTTTGCTTAGTCTGCAATCCAGGGCAGGAAAAAAAACCTTCTGCACACGCAGGGGCTTAGAGAGCAGCAGCAGCAGCCAGCAGTATCCCGCTCTGCCCGCTGAGCCCCTCCACGCCGCGCCAGATGCGGCAGGGAAGGGCGGGGGAGGGCGAAGAAC